TTACAATTTCCCTGATGTCTATTTTAAATCTTATGGAAGATGCCTGGATTCCCAGGCAATGAAGGCAGAAATCCTCTCACCAGGTTTTCAGCATTATTGGCTCTGAATGAGCTAAGGTGAGGGATGTGTCATCTTTTCTTGTTTTGTGGACATTGTCTGCATCTCAACTGTAACCTGGATTCATGAAAATACTCCAGATGTCACCAGCCCTCAAGTTCTGTATTGCCAAGAACAGAATCTGCTTTCCATGTGTTCAAAAGCTACTTAGCCAAGAAATTATAAGATCCTTTGAAAAAAAACCCACTTCAGTACAAGAATACGGCTTCAATAGGAATCCACACAGGTCTCAGGTTTCATAAGGCAACAGCAACTTGTTCATTGACATTTGTGCATATGCAAATAGCTGCCCATCAAATATTGGGTCTGCCATCACATACTGGCAGTTTTTGAAAGATAGTTCAGAATGGGCTAATAGATGGTGACATTTCACCTATTCCAGTTACTGAGATACAACTCATGGAGGGATCCCAGGAATAAGCTACCTTAAAAATGAAGTACATAACCTTAAATGTGAAGAGTCTCGAAGCAGAGAAACAAGCCAACCCAAGACTCTCATTTCTGAATGAACTGGCAAAACAGTCATTGTCAAGTTGGTGGACATTAGTGCTATTGGGGCTAGTGGAGCTAGCCCCACACACTGCAGACGTGCAGATAGGGACTTGGGCAGGAGTTGTGTGTTATAGGGCCGGGTGGGGCTGCCACCACCTGTGGCCAGGGACTGGGGTCACAGCATGGGAGCTGTGTGCTATGTGGCTGGGTGGAGCTGGCCCTGCACCCTGCCATCACATGCAGCTGGGGACTTGGGCAGGAGAGCTATTGGGTGGGGTGGGGCCGGACCTGCATGTTGCTGCCACTTGCAGCTGGGGACTGGGCTGGGGGTGCAGGGAGCTATGTGCTGTGGAGCTGGGTGCATAAGGACTCAGGGCACACACAGCTTCAGAGATTCATACACTCCAGGGACCATGGGCAACTGGTGCCACCCTAGTCAGGGGTGGGGAACGTACCTCCCCAGCGACCAGTCAGTGACTGGAGGGGAGTCCCCTGTGGCCAATCTCACCAACTGGAGGGGGGTGTCCCTCGTAGCCAATTGCACTGACCGGGAAATGGCCACAGCGCTCCCAGAAGTGGCTGCGACACTCCCACCTGCTCCCCCTGCCCGTCGCCTAAGCAGGGAGTGCAGCCTGTCAGGGGGTGCACCAGCGTTCTCAGGGGGTGCACGTGTACCCTGTGCACCCCCTATGTTTCGCCACTGCCAGGGACTCTGAGGACTCCTCCACCCCAACACATGCACACACATGCACCCACACCCTCCCACACACCCCATCCCAACCAGATACCCCCCATCCACACCCTTCCACACCCACCCACCATACCCACATTGCACCACCCACAATATATATGAGTAAGACTGTATTTTGAGTCATCATGCAATCACCTCAAGATACACTATGCAAACACACATAAATCAGGACAAAATTTTTTTAAAAAATAAAATTAAAGTAAGTTATAGTACATTTGATTCTTTTAGTATATGATTTGGTTTTTTTCCAGCGTCAAGATGGCAAACCTCCACCCCCAAAAGGAGTACTACTGGGACAAGGGGAGGGACTTCTGGCAGCAAAGGTTAGGGGTTAGGGGCCAGGACTTCTGGTTCCCAGCTGGTGACCAGGGGGTGGGGGCACTTGTCAAGGGGAAGGGCTATCCTTGCAGCCCTCGACAGTTCCCCAAAACTCATTAAGCGGCCCCCAGCCAAAATAATTGCACACCCCTGTATTAGTAGAGTTCGCTTCCTCAGAGAAGGGTTACTTGTTTTCATGTAGCACCACTCGTGCTAAAGGATCTTTACTGAACAACAGAATGACAGGTTCTCTGTCTGTGGAGGGGCAGATAATCTAAATGTAGAAGACACAAGCTACAGAGTAGGGATGGGATAAAATATAGAAGGGAAAAGATGGATTTGTTGTTTTTGAAATCAGTCAGTTTGTTCCAAGCTGTTGGGGTAGAGATAAAATGATAATTTCTTTTGTTACCAGCAGTTCCAACCCACTTTCTTGCTTTAGACAGCATAACCAGAAAATCACCCGCCACTTCCAATAGCAATTAAGCATAGTTTGTATTGTCTGCTTGGTGCATCTCACAGATCTTCAACTATTATTACTGGTATCACAAAGTACAAGGAAGACCCAGTGGAACTCAGGGCCTTGCACCCACAAAAAATAAGAGACAGTCACTACCCTGATGAGTTTACATATAAGACAGACAAGGGATGGGAAAAGGATGCATTATTATACCCATGTTACAAGTAGAGAACTGAGGCCCAGATAGGCTAAGGGCTAAATCCTATTTCACCTTCACTTAAGTGGTATAGCTGGGTTAGTACAACTTTTGGCCTTTATGCACAGGGCAGATTCTATGTGTGCGTTTGTAGTTATTCTTGCCCTGCGCTTCTCTTCTGCAAATGTTCAGTCTTCTGCACTCAGTCCATGTAGGCTCCACGGTAGGATAGAATCACCTGGGCGCACACATAATATTGTGTAAGTCTGAAAATTTTTGTCACGGAAAAGCCACGACTAGCAAATAGTTGATGTTGTAGGTTCTGTACCTAAAGGCTTCCCTTCACCTTACATTTAATATGCATTGGCTAAAATAGCTTTGAGATAGCTTCTGTCCCACTCGGGGCAGAATCCAGGACAATAAACAAGAGACCTTTCCCTTCTAGGGAGGCGTTTCTCTTACCCCTCTGGCTTACTTCACTTCCTCCTGGTGGTCCCAAGTAACTTCCCCTCCTGGAAGCCCAGTGGGACAGCTTCAAGAAGAGAGCTAGTATATTCTGAGTACTACCTAGTGCATGGTTTTGTGGTTCCAGCACTTGCCTGAGCCATGGGAGAAAAAAGTGCAAACTCACTCTGGCTGGGGAGGGCCTACATCCTGGATCTCCTTCTTCCTGGGCAAGCACCCTAAATGTAGGCTGAAAAGGGGGAGGGGCTGGCCTCCTCTGTTTTACTTTGAGCAGGGACGTGAACAATCCTATTCTACCACAGATGGAAACAGAATCCAAATTGTGCATAAGCATCAAAAACTGTGGTTACAGAGCTATATAGACGCTACTTAGGAATGTAAAGGTGAGATTGGATTTAGCCCTAAGTGACTTGCTCAAAGTCGCACTGGAAATCTGTGGCAGAACTGAAATAAGAACAGTTTCAATCATTCACCACAAGAGCTTATTTCCAATCATGAGGGACTGCAGCATTTTGTGGTCTATCAGGGAGGTGATAAGGACACATAACATGATTTCTTCTTTGCTGAGTGGTATGATAAAGGCAATGTATGCCATCACCTTTCTCACAAGTTCTGTCTCTCGTGATTTGTTTTAGAACCCAAAATCTTGGCAGGTGGGATCAGCTGAGTCCACTGTCAAAGCTACTTGATCTGTAGCCTGTTGGTGATGTGATTCATTTTGGTATACTTGTCTGGAACAATACGACAAGGAGGGTATTATGTCTTGTCCATTGGGATGCTTGTCTTTCTCTAGAAACATCATTTTACTTTGGGTAACACTATCCCTGGATAGCAAGAGGATCATTATAATTAAATAATGAAGTACCTGTGAGTGTTATATTTCCTAGCAATCACTTGCTTTTTAATCCTAACAATGTAGCAGGGTCCTGAGGAATGTGTGCTGGAGGGGATGGCAGATAGGAGATGGAAATGTGATGGACATATACTATATTCTGGTGCTGTGTAGATATCAGTACTTTCCTTGAGGCAAGTTACAGAGTGGCTTTGGCACAGCTCATGAGAGCAATATGTTCTGACTATTCCCCACCCACACTTCTTTCTAGGAAAAAGGTGGAGGCAGCTTTCCTGTTAACATCCTTCTGACTACGATTGCCATACAGGCAGAGAATCCATTCAATTAACACAAACTGAATAAAAAAACAAAGAAAACGAAACAACACTCCCCCCCCCCCCCCCCTTTGACAAAAAAGAGAAAAAAACCAATTCAATAAAAAAAAATGAAAAAAAAAACAAAAAAAAAGAAAAAACCCCCCCCCCCCCCCCCGCTTTGAATAAAAGATGAAAAAAGTCTCTTTACCAGGAAAATGAGAGACTTCTTTTCAGAGAACACAATGAGAGATGCAGCAGGGATTATCCGTTGCCACTGGCAACAAAATCTTCATATCAGCAAATCTGCCTGAAACAGAGTCAACAAAAGTTGTTCATAAAACCTTGGATAAAAAAAAAAAATCAGGTTTATTTTTTTAACTTATGATTGGCCCTTAAATCAACTGCAATCAGTAAAGTTCTCTCTTCCTTTTATTTCCTGTTATAGTCCCTGGAATTTGGCATCTGTTGCATTCTGGATCTGGTTTAGGGCTTTTTCCAAATCCAAGACTTGGGGAATTTTGTTAACAGTGCAATAAAAATAACTTCATAGTGTTACAGGGAAACATTAAAGCCTTTTTGTGTGGTGCTCTTTTCCTTTTTAAAAAAAAATACAGACAATGTTTCTTTAAAAGTCTCCATCTGCAAATCCCATTAGATGTGCATATAAGGTTTCGGATGATTAATAGTTGCCTGCTTTGCTTTGGTTGGAGGGGCTGAGTGTATGCAAGTTAACCCCTCCCTCCTCTCTCTCACATTTCACTTCACAAACTTGTTGCCCACTCCCCAGCACAGTATTTAAAAAGTGTTTCACCCATGTCCAGCATTTCACAGGGAGGCAACTCCAGGCCCTGGGAAACAATTCAGGCCAATTGCAGTATAGAATTGATTAATGTTTTCCAGCTACAACAATGAAGATGTTTAGTGGAGGTCCCAAACTAACAAATTTGCTACCAAGCAAACCCACAAACTAGCTGTATTTTAGCAGGGGTGGGGAAATCCAATTCTGGGGTGGGGGGGTTTCATAGAAGTTCAAAGTTGTTTTTTCCCTTCTCTCGTGTTCTTGAAGACTGAGACAAACCCAGCTACAGCCTCTGGAGCGCGGACAGAGATAGAGCTGGCAAATGGATCCTTCCATGAGCAGCTGCATGCGGAGTCCCCGTCCCAATACCCCACTTTGGGGGTGTCTACGGAACGGCACCACGGAGGTCAGCACTGCATCCGGGCTGAATCATTACCCTCAAGCACCCTTCTCGTTCCATCAAAAACCAGACTTTGCTACATATTCTGATTTCTCAGCCTCCTGCCTGGCCACTGCGCCCCACAGCTTCCCTCGAGAGGAACGCGGGTTTGCAGAGCAGCACCCTTCCTTCCAGCCTTCCGACTGGCACTTTGCAGCCTCTGAGGCTAGAAGGCGACTAAATCCTGGACTGGCTTTGGGTTCTGGGGAGCTAGAAGGTGGCAGCCCAAACCTGGTGGGTGCTGCAGGGAGTGTGAATGAAGAGTATGGGGTACCAGGCAACAGTACTAATGAAACTGAGAAAAAGGCTTCCAGAAGGAAAAAGGAAAACTCAGGTAAGTGACATATCACTAGGGATGTGGGATAGCAAAATCTCCTTGGCCAGAGCACCCATTAACTTCCACAGCACAGAAATTAGAAAAAGAAACCCGAAAGACTTATGTTTTAGAATTCCTGTCTAGGGAAAATGTGTAGCTGGCCATATGGGACACTAACACTGAAACTAAATTGTTTTCTGTTTGATGCTTCCTGGTGTGTTTTTCCAACTCTTGCTGCCAAAACTAGCTACTTCCTCCATCCTCATGATATAGCCTTTTTGTGTGTGAAAGAATCACATGGTGTTCTGCACATAGAGCTCACAGCCCTCCAACACGTAATCTATGGCTCGGCTGCCATTTGTCTCAGTGTGAAGTGATGGGAGTCAAAGGGCAAAGCAGCCTGGGATAGTGTCTTGCAAATCTCAACTCTAAACTAGTTAGCAATTACTATTACTAACCTATTAAGACGTTAGATGAGGGTCAAGGCAATCAAAAGTAGTACAGACTTAGTTAGGAATAAACAGGAGCCAGCTCCCACTCACTGACTTTTAAAGAGGTAAAATTAGGAAGGCAAATGATGACTGGCTTGCTAAATGCATTCTTCTACAGTAGCAGGTGCCCTAGCATTTAGTACAGGCTCTCGGGGGCTATTCATTTTGTTCTTTGATGTCTGTGCAGTTAGGTACCAGCATCTGAAGGAAACATTCCAGTTCTACTAACTGTTTGTGAAGGGAATAGCATCTGTATTCACTACAGATCACAGGCTGTCTTCTAGTTCCCTACAGCAGTTGGCAATACTCCTTATTGCAGTGTCATTTTGTCATTAGTTTATGTGTAGCCAGATGCATTTAAAGTAGCTTTCAGCTTTCTAACATATGAGGTGTCTACTCCTGCCCCCTGTGTGTTGTCTAATCCCACTCTCTGTGTTGATCTGACTGAGTTTTAATATGCTCAACTCAAATCCAAAATCAAAGCTTCTTTTAGCAACTCACCCGTCAGACAAGTCACCAGCATGCTTTGTCCTCAGCTGCAGAGAGAATGATACATACGGTTGAATTGCACTGTTTTACCTTGGAAAAACAAGTTATTTCCACACCCTAGAATCTCACAGCCAGTTAGCTGCTGACTTGCTGTTACCTCACTTGTTCAGCAGTGTTAAATACAGAAATTGAGATAAAGGTGGGGGGGGTTGTAAAGAAGCTGTCAATTGAAGGGTTTTTAATGCACCTTTTCCTAACTATAGGATCTGTACACCTCACAAACTGTGACTGATTTATCTTCAGAGCATGCATATAAGAGACAACTGAAGCACAAAAAATGAAATGTTTTCTCCAAGGTCCCATATGTTATTCATAGCAGAGCTACGAATTCAGTCCAGCTCTCCTGAGTCTCTGCCTTGCAATTAAACAAGAGACTATTTTCCCTCTCTCTCTCTCTCTCTCTCTCTCTCTCTCCCCATGGTTAGCCCTAATAACTGATTATGATTGTCTCCCATTTCTGTTTCCCCCTAGACACTGACAGGCTGTCGGTGCATATCTGAAACATCTAGTAATGCAACCCTTTCTTTGTTCCAGAGTCCAAGTTACTCCCTTTCATGCATTTATGATCTCTTGAAACCCAGGTAGAATTTATGACCATCTACAGCTGCACTCCCTCTCCGTCAACCCTTACAGAAGAATCCTTACAGAACAATGTTATTGTAATGTTGGGGTGATGTTGTAGGTGTCCAGGAAATACGTGAGGGGCAAGGATACCCCAGCTACATGTCTGGGTTAGTTTTAGACAAGCTTTCAGATGAGGGCATTCTTGGGTAAAACCATCCCGACCATGCAGTTTGTCCAATGATAGATATCACACTCCAAAATCTTTGCTCCCCTACAGAACAATACAATTTTAAGTTATTAAGTTCTTAACAATTCATGAGTTGGTGGGAGATCTCACCCCAATCACATTAACAGGGCACAGTTAGCAAATTGAGAATATTCCAAAGCATGTGCCCATGTGTTAAATGGAAAGCAAATGGTCCTTGGCACCTTTTACTTGCTTACTGCTGTGAGCAGCCTTGACACACTCTTCTCCCACTTGCTGCCTGCACACCTGTCATTACAGGGGAACTATAAACAACAATGCCATACATGATATCACTAAAATACAAATTGATTTCCTGCTTCCCGACCAACTGTTATTTTCATTAGTCTGCTTTCTCTAGTTTAACACTTTGCACAGACTGTGTTCCAAAATGTGATCCCAATATTTCTTTCATTTCACTCGTTTCTCTGCTAATAATATAACAGAATTGCACAGTATCACTCCTTCAACAGTTCTCACCCCCAAATAAAAGAGAACAAATAAAAAAAATTGCATGGCTTCAACTATTCTGATTTCCTGAAACCTTTCTCCAATTCCTTGAAAATGCAACCAGATGCACATCAGTAGCTTGTTGTAAGTGGAACACACTTCCTCTGACTCCTCCTGAGAATTGGATCTAGGTTGCTTTAGCAAGTCTAAGCAGCTAAAAAACTGCTCTCTTCAGAGAGGTTATAGTTGTTAGTAAAATGAAGCAGCAAATTATCTATTGCTTTCAGACAGTTCTGGAAGATAAAGTCCCGTTCCAGAGAGCTACATGCCGGTGGCTTACCAGATGCTATTGTTGCTGAACTATAGCCCAGCCAAAGTATTACAATGACTTATTTTGGTATCAAATATTGTAGTTTATTCTCAGCCCATATTCCTCAAAGAATATGCAGTATTCAGTATGAGGCTTTTTGTTAATATGGTACCACAAGAAGAGTTAAAAGTAATACACTTCTGTGATCAACAGGGAGTTCTATAAAGCCTTGTCAGTGTAAGAGAAAGACAGCTACTTTTGTTTAATCACTGAATTCTTCATTAATGTGCTGTAATATTTAAACTTGTTTATATAAATGCCTAATTAACATAATAGTTACAGAACAGCAATATGTGCAAATACTCGCATACTTCTTACACACACACACACACACACACACTTCTTTTCTACAGACTCTCATTATTGAGGGCTACGACTGGCCCTGGACTGACATCCCAGATGGACCTATTATTAACTCAAGACGGAAGTTGAGCTGCTGTTTGTTTTCACAGCTACTGCTGCATCTGTGCTCAAGCTCATCAATATTTTCACTGTTTGTTTTCATACATTTTTGAAAATACTCAATATTGTGCAGCTTTATAAATCACATAAAAAACTGGCACTAACACAATGTCTTGCAACTACTAGTATTACAAACACAAAAGGAATTTATAATGACTTGTAATGTATTTATTCTGATTTTTACATATGATCCATTAGCAAGTAAGGAAATAACTCCACAGCAATGAAACAAACTCTAAAATAAAATGAGAAATGATATGATGTCAAGGAGTTCAAAGACCCTGCAGACACAGGCTATAAACGACCTGGACAGGTTAAATGCAATCAGCACCCAAGCAAGCTTTGAATGTATCTTTTGTAATCTTTTGGACTTTCTAAGTGAAACATTTTACAAATGAAAGCATAGCAGAAGACACCTCCAGTTGCATTTTTTTTCTCCATTTACACAAACATTTACAAGCATAACAAGGAATCCCAGAAGAAACCCAATTCATTCAAATAGTCTTGAATAGTTCAGTTTTCCTACCATTTAATAAGCTAAAGAAATGAGTAGTAAAAACCAGTCACATTGGGTCAAATTTGGTCCTTCTATGCATCTATGAGTAAATACAAAATATCTATGACTGGAGCATCCACCAGTAAATATATAACTGAGCAGACCATCTGATCCATTAATTTACATAAGTGAAACCATGTAGTAGTTAAAGGGAAATATGGTGGGAATGAGATACAGAGTATAGCATGTAAAGATTAATAACACTTTATATTCATGTAGTGTCCTTCACCCTGTAGGATCCTAAAATACTTCACAGAGCCCATATCTACACGAGATAGTGGCTGAGCAGTAGCTAATTACTACTGTGCAGTAGAATCGCACAGCACAAAGCATGACATGATGCTACTGCACAGTAGTAATGAGGTACTGTGCAGTAGTAATGAGCTACTGCGCAGTCAGTGTCACCAAGAAGATGTGCAAGGACACTACTGAACAGTAACTCTGGTTACTGTGCAATCATTAGTACTTGTCTATGCAAGTGCTAAATGACTGCACACTAACAACTGTAGTCAGCATCTCGTGTAAATGTGGCCAGTATGTTCAAAGCAAAGTATCAGACTAATGCAGATACAAAACACGAGGTTTCAAAAATCATAAGAATACTGGGCCAGACAAATGATCCATTTACCTCAGTAGCCTGTCTCTGACAGTGGCAGGAATGGATGCTTTAGAGCGAGAACATTGAACCAGGAATATTTACAGTGATCTATCCCCTATTCATTACCCACCCTGGTATCCACCATCATCGATGATGCATCTCTGACACTTACGTTCAATAGCTATTAATAGATCTATCATCTATGAATTTGTACTACCTGCTGCTAAAACCTCTGCATGATTTCGTAATTCTATATCCCTGATCATTTTGGTTGCCCTTATCTATGCCTTTTCTAATTCTACTACACCTTTTTGAAATGCAAAGATGACAACTGCACATAACATTCAAGATGTAGTTGCACCATGGATTTGTATAGTGGCATAAAGTTTTCTTGTTTTGTTGTCAATTCCAGGCATCAGCAGAAATAGTCCAATATTTCTTTTTAATATTAAAATAGTTCTGGATTTAAACAACCACGTTTATAGTTTCTTCAGCCTAGACATTATAACAATGTACATTAGAACCAGAAAATGAAAAGGATCAGAAAGAGTCTATAAGCAAGACCAAACCTCACCACTCTGGTTTCTTCTACAAACTACACCAAGTTTGCAAAACATAAAAGACCAGCAGAAATAGTGAGAATTTGTTTTTAATTTCTTCCCTGTCAGTGATGTTGGGAACTACTAATGGCTCTGATAAGGAAATCTGATTTACCTCTTTGTCTCCCATTGTTG